AAATTACTCTGGACCCACCCAGAGAACCAATAACATCCTTTAACCTCAGCATCCTTAACCAAAATGACATTTCCAAATGCAGTTGCCTTAGTTCATAAGATAATAGACCAACAGACTCTTAAGATTAAGACATACATTTTTTCTTAGATTAAGACATACATTTTTCTTAGTAACTTATTTTCCCAGAAAGTGTATAGTCACACTGAAACACACACACACACACACACACACACACACACACACACGCACGCACGCACGCACACACGCACGCACGCACGCACGCACACACACACACAAATATACTAACATAAAAAGGAAAAAAATTTACCCACTGTATAATCAAACCAGCAATATCGAAAAAAATTCCTTGTGTCTTTCCATTAGAGTCGTAAGTATATGTCCATGCCCAAAATTCACAAAGCTGAAAATGATCAAGCTGTATTTCTTTTATGAGTTTAAATGAAAATAATAAAAAAAATCATTATAAAATACTAATTCATGATTCTTACGTGGACTGCATTCTTCAGCTTCACCTGAACTGTATAAGATGGGCAAATCAAGCCATGGACAGTATGTCCTGAGTTAGTAGTTCTCCTGAAACCTGTATGCAACACTCTGACACACCATCTCCCTTAGGGAACTCCACCCCATGTATGTCTTTGGGAGTGGAAAGTCAACTTTAAAGAGGTATAATTGGTATGTTGCAAAATTTCCCCATTTTAAACAATATTTATTGCAATAGCAATAAACAATTAGTAAAAGTAAGCATCACTTTTGACTTTCTGATTTTATTCTTAGACATTAAAGGTATCATATATTCTTGGAAAGGGATCTCACAGGCTATTGTGTTTTGTCTTTTTGAGTATTTATAGGATTCTCTCTGAAAGCGATGTAGCATCTTCAGTGTATTTGTGTTTGTGAGGGACCCTTATGTAAGATTTTGTTATATGTGTCCATATACATGGCAAATAAGTGTTTGCTCATTATAGAGACTATAACTGCCTAAGAGAACCCAAGAGCTTAATCTTTATTGAAGTATAAACAGCAGGAGTATTCCTGGATTTGAATATTAAGAAAAAATGAGAAAGAATGATCCTTGTAGAAACATATCTTCCTCTTCCCTCATGGTCTGCAATCTGGTGAGACTATTAATTACAATGTTCAATTATTCATCATGAAAATAAAATGATAAAGAAACTATTATGGCAGGCATTTGAAATTTTTAAATAAATTTTATTCTAATTCTCAAATAGTCATTTTATATATTTATGGGGCACAATATCAAGCTATGGTAAATTGTGGAATAATTAAATAGGGATAATTAATCTATCTTTGATGTTGCATTGTTCCTTGTAGTATCTATAGTACAGCCTACTTTTTAGCTACTTTGAAATATACATTACTGTTAACATGTTTCCCACACTGTATGATTCATCACTAGAACTTATTCAACTGCTCCCTTAAAATGAGCCCTTTGAGCGACTACCTTGCACAAAGTTCCACATTAGAGAAGATATTTGAAGGGATTTCCATCAGCTCTCCATTGCCTTCTCTATTTCTAGCTTTTGCACTGTCAGGTTACTTAGTTGTTGCTATGCTTGTGTTATTACTCTGAAGATATTTTTAGTGTATGCTTAAAGAGCTTTATAAATAGAAGCCATTTACTATTTGACTTTGCGTGTTAAGGATGTTTTAAATTTTGTGCTGAAACTTGACCGTTGTAGTATGATATTGATCTTAACTTTGCCTCCTTAGAATATAAAAGGGTATCTAAATTTCCATCTACATTGCCATTCAAATTATCAAGCCCATTGTCTTTTCTATTGGCTTTATATTGGTGCACCATGTTCTTTAGTATCAGCATTCCTTTATAGTGATCCCAGTCTAACCTTCTTACTCTAACAGTGAAGTGGAGAGAAGAGAGTAGGGGCCATGTTTCGTGTGTGGCCAGTCAAGTGTGGTTAAAAATGACACTTTAAATCACCCACATCTTTTTTTTTTTTTTTCAGAGCTGAGGACTGAACCCAGGGCCTTGTGCTTGCTAGGCAAGTGCTCTACCACTGAGCTAAATCCCCAACCCCCATCCACATCTCAAATGACATTGTCCTGGGTGTGAATAGAACTGTAACATTTGATAATTATTTTTAACACAGTAACAGTATTTCCAGGTTGCTACAGATAAGTGAAATAACTTTTCTACTCTACAGTGATTTGTCCTGTGTTAGAATCTAGCCAGATAATAAAATAAAAGAACAAAAGAGGAAAAACAATCATAACGGGTGGTTAAATGAACATGTCAATGAAAAAAATTAGATAATTCCTATGATTTGTTTTTCAGGGTGGCCCTAAAGATATCCCAAACATTATAGGCTAGTTGCCCTCAAAAACTAAGTACAATCTTATGGGTGAAGGTACCACATACTTTGGCTGTAGAACATAGACAAAGGAAGTTGTAACTGAGATGGAAGATTTGGCCCTGATTGGTGCTTTCATAGTGAGAGAAAATGCTGTGGAGGCTGTGAGGGCTAACATTATGCTGATGCCTACCTTTACATTTAACAGTGTAAAATCACTGTGCTTGAGAGAAATTTTATAGTGCTGGCCCCAGTATCTGAATAAAAGCCTCTTCTTTGTTAACTGTATTAATGGTCACACTGGTGAATTGCTAAACCACCTCAGACCAGTAACAGAGGCCACTATGGAGGAAAGTCATCCATGATCTTACCCTGCCATGGACTTTATGTGCTGCAGTTCCAGCCTGCCAGGCAATATGTGCCTGCTGGAGCAATTGTGGTATGACTATATCAGCACTAACCAATTAGTGGTTATTTTGCAATTTGAATACACGATGTTCTTTGGGAGGAAATTCACATTGCTACTAAACACCTGCTCAACAGTCCATAGATGGGAGGCATAGGCTCTATGGGAAAAATGACAACTGTTACTTTGCTAGATAGACATATTACCAAATTGTCCTCTAAATAGTTACGTTTATAACCATGGATTAGTGCTGCTCTTAGCCTTCCTTGGTCAGAGGAGTGTGGGAGCCCGTTCTCGGGTTCCTCGTGGCTTTACCCAGCAGGTCCGAGTAGAGGATGATTAGGACCACGGGCCTGAGTGCAGGTGTCTGAGATGGTCTGCTCTTGGCTGTGCTGGGGGAGCAGGTCTTTTGCTCCACCCCTTGGTGTCTGTATAAAAACCCTGGGGCAGAGACAGTCAGGTCCGGTTGGAAAAGGTTCCAGGCCCTCTCGAGGCTATCCTTTATTTTCTATCTGTTTATCTCCGCGATATTCTCGCAATAAATCCTTCTATCTAATATTTCCTGCTGCTCGCACTCAAGAAAACTCTGGGGAACTGTGGGGGTGGTGGGTAAACGCCCCACAGAGGAGTTTCTGTTCACAGTGAATAGATGTTAACAGAGACTCATAACTGGTCAATGAGCTCAAAATAAGTGACTGTTCAGCAATCAGCCCTAAATGAGACATCTTCACCATCCCCAAAGCTCAAGGGAAATCACTAAGACAGCATGGGAAAATCATATGACCTAGAGGACTAAGGGCTGTGAAACACTGTCTCCTGGGAAGGACATGCCTTTGCACCATGAGCTCACAGGAGCTTATCGACCTTCACAAGCCTGTACAAGATGGAGACATTCAGCTGAGAACAGGGAGAGGACCCTTGTGCCCAACCCCTAGCTAAGGAATTATGAGTAGTTAGAGGCTGCTAGGTAGTGAAAGTCTCCTTTCTTCAGTAGCATACTCCCCATGGTCCAGGAAGTAGGTAGGGCTGCATCCCATACTTATTTGAGGAATTCTAACTAAACTCAATAGGCTGAGAGGAAAAAAACCACAGACATGCAAAGGGAATAGATAATAATGGGAATGATATTCTCAAAATATATTATATACATATGTGAAGCTATCAAACAATAACTTAAAAAGCTAACATATGTTCAATGTGATATATAAAATAAAAAAGGAATAAGTAAATAAGTCATACTCATCGCAAAAGTCAACAGAAAAATAAAAGCTATATATATTTGTAATTTTTATAGAGAAATTTAAAAATAAATCTAGCTGATGAGAAATTCCTCAAAACAGTGGATGAAAATCCAGCTATACTCATAATGACATTAACTATGACTAGAGTAGACATTTTAATTAAAAGGCTGAGATTGTAAGACTGGACAAAAGCAATAACTTTCTTAAATGCTTTCTATAAAGACACACTGCCTGCCCAAAGAGAAAAAAAAATGGCTGCAATATTGGGACAGCATATTATTATACTAGAAATCTCAATGAGGTACCAGAATTTGTTTGTTACTATCATCAAAAATAAAATTTTCTCCTCCTGCGGTCAGTTGCTCTCAGGCCCGTGTCCCTTGTCGCTTCGCTCCAGTCTTCCTCCTCACCACGACTTCCTATAGCTATGGCCAGTCCTCAGCCATCTCGTCCTTCGGGGGCCTGGGCGGCGGCTCGGTGAGCTTTGGGTCAGGGGGTGCTTTCCGTGGCCCCAGCATCCACGGGGGTTCAGGTGGCCGCGGTGTGTCCTCGTCCTCCGGGAGCTATGGCGGAGGCTACGGCGGAAGTTTTGGTGGGACTCTGGCTGTGTCCGACGCGCTGCTGGCTGGCAACGAGAAGATCACCATGCAGAACCTCAACGACCGCCTGGCCTCCTACTTGGACAAAGTGCGCGCCCTGGAGCAGGCCAACGGCGAGCTGGAGGTGAAGATCCGCGACTGGTATCAGAAGCAAGGGCCCGGACACTCCCGCGATTATAGCCACTACCACAAGACCATCGAGGACTTGCGTGACAAGATTCTTGGTGCCACCATTGAAAACGCCAGGATTGTCCTACAGATTGATAATGCCCGCCTGGCTGCAGACGACTTCCAGACCAAGTTTGAGACAGAGCAGGTCTTGCGTCAGAGTGTGGAAGCCAACATCAATGGCCTGCACTGGGTGCTGGATGACCTGACCTTGGGCAGGACTGACCTGGAGATGCAGGTTGAGAGGCTGAAGGAGGAGCTGGCCTACCTGAAGAAGAACCATGAGGAGGAAATTAGTGCCCTGAGGAGCCAGGTGGGTGGCCAGGTCAGTGTGGAGGTGGATTCTGCTCCAGGCATCGACCTAGCCAAGATCCTGAGTGACATGAGAAGTCAATATGAGGTCATGGCTGAGAAGAACCAGAAGGATGCTGAAGCCTGGTTCACCACTCAGACGGAGGAGCTGAACAGGGAGGTGGCTGGCCACACTGAACAGCTCCAGATGAGCAAGACGGAAGTCACCGACCTTCGACATACCCTCCAGGGTCTTGAGATTGAGCTGCAGTCCCAGCTCAGCATGAAAACCGCTCTGGAAGGCACGCTGAGAGAGACAGAGGCCCGCTATGCAGTCCAGCTGTCACAGATCCAGGGTGTGATCAGCAGCATCGAAGTCCAGCTGAGCGATGTGTGTGCTGACACCGAGCGCCAGAACCAGGAGTATCAGCTGCTCATGGACATCAAGTAGAGGCTGGAGCAGGAGATGGCCCCTTACTGCAGCCTGCTGGAGGGACAGGAAGCCCACTACAACACCCTACCCACCCCCAAGGCCATCTGAGTGGATCCTGAGACTCCCCTGGGGGGGGGGCGACTGGGTTGATATATTTACTCCAGCTCTTCCCTTGACTTGCCAATAAAACTGTCCTCCAGGGGAAAAAAAAATTAATAAAAGAAATATTCATAGAAATTGGGAGAATTTGACAAATATAGGATTAATCTGTCAAAATGAGATGAGCATATCCATGTATACATTTAGCTCAATTCCAAGAGAACAGAACAAACAATACAAGATTACTCTCTACGGTCCCCAATGGATTATAGGTATGTCCCCTCCGAAATAGTCCTTCCATGAACTCATGCAGTCTGTTTGTGATTAAACAATAAGACAGCAAAGGAACGTATTTCTCTTATTAGTCTCTGACAATTATGATTACACAATTTATTATCTGAGAAGAAGAAAGATGTAGTTACAGATTGGAATTTTGTCCTTTATAAGAAGGGATAGATAATTTATTTTTGATAGATTTGGAAATGATTGGTATACCTAATTTGCTTATACAATATATGAAGCTATCTAGGAAAATTCATAGACATTTTGATTCATAGATGCCTTTATCATTTTCAAGTGTTGGTGGAATTCACTTTGCTGAGGCTAAGGCTGAACACGCCTGATCATTACCATGTTGGATTTCCATAATATACTCCAGCAGTCTCTACTGAGTTTTTAAGGAACTTATTTGAGAATTTGCTTTCATTTATAAAAACCAGTATTAAGAGTTAGTTGTAAATGCTGCTATTTCAAGCTCTCCTTCACTAGATAAAAGCATATAGTTAACTTGATGTTTAACATCAAGCATTTTCATAAGAGCTTCTGTTCTTAATTTTCTCTCCTAGCTAATTGTGGATATTATTATTTGAAGAAGTAAGAATGTTTTTTTTTTCTCTTTTGGAGTTAAGCAGAGCACAACAAACTGTCAGAAGTCTTGCTTAAGACCGCAGAGAGTAATCTTGTGTTGTTTGTTCTGTTCTTCTAGTATTGAGCTAATTTTCTCAATAATAGCAGCAATGGAAATAACAAATATAAAAGCTTCATTTCCCCATCCTTCAAAAAGCCTTTTAGCCTACTTTGAAATCCCCAAAGACTATCCAGAAAAAATACCTATCAACAGAGAAATGTCAAAGCTAATGCCCTGGTTCAAAATTAAAGCAGTGAGAAACAGCCTGCACTCCAGCAGAGAACTCTGCCTTCCCCAGGGCGTTCCTCTTGGTGATAATTCATAGACTCCCAGGGGCTCATTCTGCTGAGGCCACTAAGGTAATTTGCTTCCACTTCCACACATGGCATCTCCTTTCTTGTAATGGGGCAATAATCCAGGAATCGAGTGGGTGAAATACATAGATACTCTGCCCTATTTCCCTTGAATAAATAAAACAACTGCAGACGTTGCCTTGGTAAATACCAAAGCATTTTACTTCACAAAAGAGTCATATGTAGAAAATGAATTAAAGTCATAAAGCATGCACACATAGGAAGTGACCCTGGAATTCCAGAACTCCAAAGCACAAAGTGACCATCTGGATTTCACAACCACAAACATCACTGTCACAGTGTCAAAGGTGTTCTACCTGGAAGGGCTGAATCTTCTACTTGCAGCTCCCAGTAACATGGGTGATGCATGGGCCACAGGACTTAAAGGAAGAGATAAAGGTAAGCATTCTAGAATTCTACATTCTAGGACAAGCTCCAATAAGCACGTCCAGCCTGCTACCTAATACAAATTTGTATATTTAAAGCACAAGTTGCTTTATTTACGTATGCACTTATTTTAGGAGCAAACTGTTTTGTAACTCAGCTGCATTGATTTCAAGCATGAACCTTTCTAATGATTTTATTCTGCAGTGTCAAGAGTTTGGACATGACTGCCTGATCAGCTGCAGCCCTCTTGTTGGTCACTGTTTTGAGCAATATTGGTAGCCTGCCTAGAGAGCAGATAGATAGATAGATAGATAGATAGATAGATAGATAGATAGATAGATAGATAGAGACAGCAGACATATAAATAGACAATAGATTAGTTGAAGCAGTCTATTGAAAAAGAATCTCACTTCTTGTGTTTGAGATGCAAGTTGTCTGTGACTCCTCCCTTAAATTATAGATATTATTTGTGTTGTAGATGGACTACCTATTTTATTTGTGTGGTTCACTTAGGAAAGGGAGGGAGCCATATTCTGTGCTTTTATTCCCTAATTCAGGGAGCTCAGTTATGTTTCAGAGAAGTCCCCTTAGACCACAATATCCCCTTGGTCTGCCTTATGCAGAAGTTGGGAAGCCTGAAGTAGTTGATTCTTCTCATTCTGAGGTGAGCACAGATTTGAGGTACAGAGGGCATTCAGGAAACACTTGATAGATTCAGATAAATTCACCCTTGCCAAGACTGCCAAGGCTCCACATATACAAGCCTTTTCTATCCAGGCTTACCTGATCCTTTCCCGTTTCTATGGGACACTCTCTTAATGCAGCTCTTGCTTGTGTATGCATGTCTTAGAAGCTGCTTCTGAGACTGCACACCTATGATATGAGTTTTCACTTTCTGATTGGGCCACCATGCCAAAGCATAAATGGCGATGGAGAAGGATGTTTCCAGCAGGTAAAGAGAAGCAATGGTGCCAGATTTTCTTTACTACTCCACATCTTATCTTTACCACCCAGAGTTTTATACTGTCCGTTCAAGGCCATTGTGCCTCTAACCTTCAGGTGGAGTGGCTTTGTGTGGATGCCACGTCTTGTGGACTGCACAGGTCTTTCCAAAGGTAAAGTTGTTAAAATCTAAGCGTTCAAATGAGAGCTGAGGCCTGTAGAATGTGACTATGTCACAGGACTATGTCGTACTCTTTTACATGTGACTAGTGCCCTTCCTATGAAGGAACCAGGAAGGGTCCTCCCTCTGTGGATCAGAGCTTGTGTTCGCCAGACACACAATTTGCTGGTACCTTGGTCTTGGGCTTTACAAACTGACACAGAGAATGAGAAAGGAGGTGGATTCTGCAGCTCTGCAGATGGCCAGGAGGGAAATGATGTGATGTTGTCTTGATACTGGGATACTGTTTGTGTGGAACACCACCAACAGGTGGGGCATCTGCAGATACGAGCATCAAACAACATGAAGATATAAACCCTAGTGCCACAAAGGGTCCATACAGTTGGCAATGTTGGTTTGGGTAAGAAATAATGGGGCTAAGTAAGAAGATAAACCCATTCATTCATTCAAACATTAATTCAGTCTCTAAAATTAATTGTGTGTCTAATATATGCCAGGCTAGGAACTGGATTATAACATCATAAAACAAAAAAGAAAGTAAACATCTAGTGAAAAGAAATGTTCCTTCCTCTAGGGGCATATTTTTGTGGGGAGGTAGGCCATGAAGGGAACAGCCGGCACAGTAACAGCACAAATCATCAGTTTTAGCACACAGTCACAAAGCTGACTGTAATGTTTCCTCCTTTGTATAATGCTTGACTAAAATGTGTTTGCGAAGAAGGAAAGATAAAGCAGTCCCTAGTTGGTGTGATGTCTGAATGGAAGAGGGGTCTTCAAGGGTGACAGAACAATCCACAGTGACACTTGCAGAGCCCTAAGGAAGGTGCCATTTGCATATCAGCATGTGAGGCTGAGAGGCACACTGTCATTTCTGGGGCAATAAAGGTACTGATGCAAGAATGTGTGATGAGCCCTCTTCCCTCCCCTCGGGGACAGCAGTGCAGAGCTGATTTGCTGTTTTAAAGAGTTTTGCTTTATTTTTAGAATGAAAATAAGGCTTATGGCATTTCACATCTAGATGCTTAAAGTTTTTTAAATTATCAATTACAGAGCTCAGATTCTGAACTTAATGGACTGTTACTCTAGGTTCACCAGAGTAGGACTAATTTTCACTATATTATAATCTATGTCTCTAATTTCAGAATGACAGAAACTCCTGGAAGGTGCTATTGGACTTTTAAAACATTATCTGCTACTGAAATATGTGCTTCTGATTCAGAGTCTCCATGAGCATGAAGTCAGTCAGGCTTCCCTCTCCGCCATTAACTGGCACGTGTTGATTAAACACTAATGTGACCCCAAGGCAATTTCACTCAAGGTTTCTCTTTCTTTCTATAGATTTCATCCTTCCAAGCCGTTAGTTGAGCTTCTCTATTCTTCTGCTAATTATCTGAAGCATTATGATTTGAAATCTAAAACTCATAGAAGTCCTTCAAGTAGTCCTACAGCAGCAACGGAGATGAAGTTAAAATATAATTAAGAGTTTGAGAGGTTCTCATGGCTAATCTCGAGATTTCTAGACCTGAAAACACATCACTCTCTCCTTTGTCTGATTTTCCTTCTTCCTTAATTAGTTGATAAATGGTGAAGTCACAGAAAAGATTGGGGAATACTAACCATGCCCTTTCTGAAGAGAAATAGAGGAGTGGAATGGGGAGGGGGTAGAGGGGAGGTGAGAGGAGGGAATAGGAGGAGAAGAAGGAGGGGAAACAGTGGTTAGGATATATAATAAATGAATAAATTTAATTAATAAAAATCACTGACTGAAGCTGAGTTTTTAAAAATTATTTGATTTTTAAGTAACTATGCTGCCTGCTATTACCAGTCTGGAAGAAGTTTCCCCACCTTTCCTTTAAGCCTCTGAAATTGAGTGGCACCTATAGAGTAAGTCCAGAAGGCGGCCCTGATGTGGAACTGCCACTACCAATTTCAGGAATATAAAGTAAGTGATAGACACGAAATCTATCCTCCTATTTAGTGAGGAGATGAGGCCTTGGAAGAGTTAAAGATTCCTCTTAGAACAGAAAGAAAAATCATTAATGCGAGAAATCCACAGAATCTGCTTAAAGGGCAAAGAAATTTATTATGGGAGAAAAACTCACTGTATGTAGCAGAATTTTCACAGGTTCTAGAATGCTGGGGCACAGTC